AGTTTGTCAGTCAAGTCCATCTCAATCTGGATCTAAGGATGGCCATTGATGAATCGAAATTCATCCTGTTCAGCTGGGACTGACTGAATTTCAATCCATGTGTGGCCACTGCAGTGACTTCTGTTCAATTGCCCTGTTAGATGAAAGTTGGTCAATCAGCAGCTGCAGCACTGATTTGTGTATTCTGGCAGTGGGGGAGTCTCCCCAATGTCAGAATATAAAAGCGCAGTAGGGAGGATTCCCCCCTATCCACCTCGAATAGGGGAATCAGTTAAATTTTTTTTGTTCAGCCCGCTGGCTGAATGAAAAAAAAAGGGCCAACTTAACACTACTCTCTTTTCAGACAATGGCCCCTGATGACGCCATTTGTGTCAAAACGCGTAGGGTAGAGCTACGTTCTCTAACGTCATCACACCACATACCGTTATTGACTGAGGAGTTATCTTTTGGTGGAGAAGCCCTATGGTTCCATATTTTCTCTCTCATCTTTGCAAAACCACTATTTTGAAGTACAACCTTTGTGGTGCGAGCTGTGGAGGTGCCTTCAGGTGGAGAAGTTTTCTGATCCTACTCTTCCATGTGATTGATCATAAACGCTGTGTAAGACCGCATGCTCTGTAGTCTTGCCCTCTGGTAAGAGGCTGTGTATGGTGTTGGAGGATTTTGTCTTTGTGACAACTCATCACCTTTTCCCCAAAATGTGATATATGAAGGACTTTACCATCACTTTAACCACTTCAAGTCCTGACACTTTTACCCCCTTCCTGTCCAGGCCAATTTTCAGCTTTCAGTGCGATCACACTTTGAATGACAATTGCGCGGTCATGCAACACTGTACCCATATGAATTTTTTTAGCATTTTTTGAGACAGATAAAACTTTATTTTGGTGGTATTTATTAATCAATGGGATTTTTTTTTGTTTGCTATATAAATGAAAAAGTCTAAACATGTGAAAAAAAAAGTGATTTTCTTATAACATTTTGCAAATAAATAATCTTTCTTCATAAATCTTGGCCAAATGTATTTGGTTATCTTTTTAGTAAAAAAAAAAACCAAAATTAGTTTATAACCAAAAATTTTAATTTTTTAAAATTGTTTTTTACATTTTTTTTTTTATATTATTATTTATGTTTTTGTTTTAACATACTGTCACCCTAGCAGTAGTGTCACCATAGTTACACTGTACTACTTGTAAGGGGTGATGAAGTTTTTTTTTTTTTTACACTGATTGCTTTTACACCCATAAATGCTGTAAAAGCAATCATCTCCTAGATTGTAAGCTCGAAAGAGCAGGGCCCTCAATCCCCTCATGTTTTGCATTGTATTGGTATTGTTCTGTCACATGTTCTGTCCCCCCTCTGTAATGTACAGCGCTGAGCGAACTATTGGCGCTTTATAAATACTGTATAATAATAATAATAATAATTTCTCCTTCTCTCTGGCTGCATTCTTGCAGCCATTGAGACATACTGTGCGAGCTGTGATTGGTCACAGCTTGTCACATGGTAGAGGCTGTTGTGAATAGCCTTGTACCATGTGACCTCTGTGATCATTCACAGATTTCAGTAGTAGTAAGCAATGATGTCAGGAAGTGACATCTTGCTTACTACTGTTCATGTGATCACTGATTGGCTAATCAGTGACCACATGATCGGGACCTCACACAAAGGTCCCGTACAGCAATCGGACACAGCAGGCACCGGATCGCAGTGCCGTGCGCTCCCAGGGAGCATGCACAACCTGAAAATATGGGCACCGTTTATGAACGGCAACCCACTCCTGCACTGCTACCGTTTATGTACATGGGCCAGATGGGAAATGGTTAAGGACTTTTTTCTTTTTAATATTTTCTTTTATCTATGCCAATTATGAGAGATCAACCGCTACATTTTGTATAGTCTTTTCAGACAATGCTGCTGTCCAAAGGTGTCTCTATTGCTTCTCCATCCAGAATACTCTAAGACAGGTAGTGTTACTAGTCAAATCACCAGGTCAAAATAAACAAAAAAAGAAAACTAAAGCAGCAACACATCTAACAATTGGTAAGCTGCAGTATATTACATTTTGTTTTGGGTTTATTACCCTTTAGGTTAACTGATGCATACTGACATTGCTGATACTGTTTAACCCCCCTGGTGGTATTCCCGAGTGTAGTGGTAACCCCGAGCTACTCTCGGGAATACCATGCAGCGTTGCTCAGGGATTCCCTGCAGCACTTACCTTGTCCTGCGCTCCCGCGATGTGTCCCCTGCAACGTCCCTGTCCATCTCCTCCGGCCGATGCCGGCATCTGTCTTCCGGGTTCCATTCTCTATGATGTCGGGACGTACGGGGACGGAACTGGCGGGAAATTTAAAAATGTCAAAAAGTGAAATTCAGTAGATACACTAAAATCACATAGTAAAACATTCCTGTATCAAACCATTTCACATACATTTTGTCCCGAGTGCTTTGTCCTGTGCCCTGCCTGCATTTTGACTGTTCTTTCTGCCTGGAAACTGAGAAACGTCCATGGCGTCCAAAAAGCGTCCCTTTAGGTCAAAATCGGTTTTAGACCAGCTAGAGAACAGCGATAGTAAATCAGAACTACTTGCAGAATTGAGTGATAATGATTCATGGGGAAATTCTTCATCAGACACTGAAAACGATTCTGTGACTTTGCTCAGTGATGTGCAAACATGGCGCTATATTTCAGTGTTTTTGGTTTGATTACATTATTGAATTAAATTTATTATTATTATTATATTATTATTTTTTATGATTGTTTATTAAATTCTAATTTATGATTTCATGTTTCAAATTTTAACATACCCGGAATGTTTACTAGACTCTTGTTCGGACAGATTTCAGTGTTATTCCTAAAAAATTACAGGCATACAATAAAAAAAACTATATATTTCTATGCAACAAAATGTACCACTTTGAGCACAGAAATACTGACATAATCAGACCGCTAGGGAGGTTAAAGAAGTATTAAACCCAAAACAAAAATGTTAAATATTACAGCTTACCAATCATTAGATGTGTGGCTGTATTAGTTTTCTTTTTTTAAGGCTGTGTTTCCTGTCTTTTCATCTGGTGATCTGGCCAGTAACACACCTCCTGTATTGGAGTGCCCCTACTCTGGATGAAGTAGCACCTTTGGACTGCATCATTGTTAGGGCTCATGTACGCTGCAGCTGATAAACTGACATTCAGGAGCTGTTCAGCTTTTTTTTCAGCAGCCCCTGAACTCTCCCTAATGTTTTCCTATGTGTCCATGTACACTATGTCGTTTACAGTTGTTTACAGGCAGTTGAGTTTACAGTTGTTTTTTTTGAACGCACCAAACTTGCATTCAGGAGTAGATTTTATCAGCATTTCAAACGCCAAACACTTGCGTTTAGAAGCGTTTTTTCACTGTTCCATATCCAGATGCTGTCCAGAGACTTTTTTCATCTTCAGAAATGCATGCAAAGTGTTTTCCATGTATTCAAATGGACCCGGTACACCAGCGCAGTCAGTTCCAGGTTTCGCGTGAAGGAAAAAATTATAGAACGTGCTGCATTATGCTCATGATGGGATCCATAGTGAATACAATCAGAAAAGACAGGTCATCTCAACACATACTGCTCTATCTGCTTCTGCTCTCTCTATTTCTCTCACAATGTCTGAAATAGTAAATTTTTTTACTGTTTTTCAGTGCATTCTGGGCATTTTGGAAGGTCTCCTGAGGTTATCTTTTTAAAAACTCTTCTAAACGCAAACGCTCGTAAACGTGCATAAACGCGGTATGCAAACACGACTAAGCTTACGTTTTTTTAACCTACGTTTTCCAGCAGTCAGTTTCCATCGTTCAGACACCCTGTGTACATAAGCCCTAAGAGTGCTCCTACTCTGGATGAAGTAGCACAGGGGGCACCTTTGGACTGGAGGATTGTAAGTCGGGGGGGAAGGGAGTGTTAGTTGGACTAGCAGATTTAAATATACTAACAAACATCAGCAACACTTTATAAGAAGGTTCATAATATATAACATAATAATTTACATTATATATAACATAATTATTAATATAATATACATAATATTAATACACATATTATATAACATAGTAATTAACAATAATATAATAATATAACAATGATTATATAACACTTTATAAGGAGTTACAGCAAACAGTTTTTTATTCCTTTCAGGATAAAGGTTTTACATAAATAAAACTGATCATTATAAGAGTATTCCTGGTTTGTCTCATCCCTGTAACTGATACATCTGCAAGTGAACTTGTTCTTTTGAAAAACAGACTTACTGGCCAGATCAGCAGATGGAAATAGAAGGCAGAAATCCTAGAAAAGTAAACTAATGCAGCCATCATATCTAAGAATTGCAATAAAATGAATGTTTGCTTTTGGATGTAATACCACTCTAAGGATTGTTTTAACACAGGAGGCATGCTGATTGACTTTCCTTTGACTTAACAGTGGAGTGAACCTCAGGCATCATGGTCAGAATAAGGTTTTTTGGCTGTGCGCTGGCTGTGCTGATTTGTGTTCATCTGTTGTTATTATTATTATTGTTACTACATCAGCAAAAAGTAAAGCATGTAAAAGAAAAAGAGAAAGTCCATCTGCTGATTCTTTCTACATGGAGGTCAGGTTCATCTCTGGTCGGCCAGTTTTTTAGCCAGCACCCCAGTGTCTTCTACCTGATGGAGCCAGCTTGGCATGTATGGAAGACTATGCCTTTCTCCAATGGACATGATCTTCACATGGCAGTGAGAGACTTAATCCAATTCGGTCTTCAAATGTGACATGTCTGTGTTTGATGCATATGTGAAAAATATGAATGTTTCTGACCTTTTTATGTGGCACACTAGTAGAGCCTTTTGTTCACCTCCGGCATGCAATTATTTTTCTTATGATAAAGTCGTTAATGAAACAGCATGTAGACAACTTTGCGGAAACGATTCAATTAGAAAAACAGAAGAACCATGCAAAAGGTATAGTCACATTGTTGTAAAGGAGGTTCGAATTTTTGACCTCAAAGTCCTCTATCCTCTTCTGAAAGACCCTTCGTTAAACCTCAAGATTCTTCACCTAGTCCGTGACCCTCGAGCTGTTGCGAAGTCCCGCATACAAACCTTTAGGGCGCTAGCTGTTGACAACGGCATTGTCCTCAACAGAAATGGAACAAAAATAAACGATACCAAATTTCTTGCATTACATGAAATCTGCCAAAGTCATGCTAATATGTACAAAATGGCTACTGACGACCCCCCTCTATTTCTCAATGGAAGATATATGATGGTTAGATATGAGGACTTGGTACAAGATCCTTTAGGAAAAGTGCAAGAGATATATAAGTTTGCAAACTTAGAAATGACTGAAAAGTTAAGTGAATGGATTTGTAATGTTACACATGGTCAAGGACTACCTACACGAAAGGAAGCCTTTAAGATCACCTCAAGGAATGCATTAAATGTCTCCCAAGCTTGGAGGACCATGCTACCATTTCAGATCGTCACAAAAATACAGGATATATGCAAGGATGCCATGAATACATTTCAGTATCAGTTTATGAAATCTGAGACACAGCAAAGGGATTTGTCAGAGGATTTTGTATTGCCAAGGACAAAGCATTAGTTTGAAAATGATTGCTTCATTTTAAGAGGGACGATGTTTTGCCTTACAGTATGTAGAACCATTTTCTTTATACAATGTTATGGACTTAATTTTGCAATATTTTTGGATATGACAAAATAAAAAAAAAAAAAATTACCCGAATGTTCATCCCTTTTTTAGACATCTACTTTGTTGTCAAGTGTTTAGTCAACCTTAGACATGGGTGACCTACCCAAGATGCACAAAACACCGTGGAGAAGCAAAAGGTACACATAGGGGAACTGCTGCTGTTGTGCAAGTCTAAGAAATTAAGATTTCTTTGTGTTTCAATTGGGAAAAGTTGTATTAAAATGGATCACTCTTTCAACATACAGTATACAGTATATTGTTGTTATTGCTAAGCCAAGTGAAAGCCAGCACACCCAAATCAAATCCAAATGTTTACTGAATTCCTTTGTCATGTCATGGTTTTGACATTGGACTGCAATAAATCTCTGGAGTTGATTTTGGTGCACTGGCTTTCACTTACCTTGGATTTATATGGCATGACCATTTGCAGAGTACCCACCATTATACACACTGCTCAAAAAAATGAAAGGAACACTTTTTAATCAGAGTATAGCATCAAGTCAGTTAAACTCCTGGGATATTGATCTGGTCAGTTAAGTAGCAGAGGGGGTTGTTAATCAGTTTCAGCTGCTTTGGTGTTAATGAAATTAACAACAGGTGCACTAGATAGGCAACAATGAGATGTCTCCCAAAACAGGAATGGTTTTACAGGTGAAAGGCACTCACATTTTTTTCCCTACTCACTTTTCTGACTGTTTTTCACTAGTTTTGCATGTGGTTTGGGTCAGTGTCACTACTGGTAGCATGAGGCCATACTTCGACCCTACAGAGGTTGCACAGACAGTCTAACTCTTCCATGATAGCATATCAATATGTGCCATTGCCAGAAGGTTTGTTACGTCTCACAGCACAGTCTCAAGAGCATGGAGGAGATTCCAGGAGACAGGCAGTTACTCTCGGAGAGCTGGACAGGGCCAAAGAAGGTCCTTAACCCATCAGCAGGACCGATATCTGCTCCTTTGAGCAAGGAGGAACAGGATGAGCACTGCCAGTGTCCTATAAAATGACCTCTAGCAGGCCACTGGTGTGAATGTCTCTGACCAAACAACCAGAAACAGACGTCATGAGGGTGGCCGGAGGGCCCAGCATCCTCTAGTGGGCCCTGTGCTCACGGCCCGGCACCATAGAGCTTGATTGGCATTTGCCATTGAATACCAGAATTGGCAGGTCCACCACTGGCGGCCTGTATTTTTCACAGATGAGAGCAGGTTCATTCTGAGCACATGTGACAGATGTGAAAGGGTCTGGAGAAGCCGTGGAAAACGTTATGCTGCCTGTAACATTGTTCAGCATAACCGTTTTTGTGGTGGGTCAGTGATGGCCTGGTGAGGGATATCCATGGAGGGATGCACAGACCTCTACAGGCTAGACAATGGCACCCTGACTGTCATTAGGTATCGGGATGAAATCCTTGGATCCATTGTCAGACCCTACGCTGGTGCAGTGGGTCCTGGTTTCCTCCTGGTGCATGACAATGCCCATCCTCATGTGGCGAGAGTATGTAGGCGGTTCCTGGAGGATGAAGGAATTGCTACCATTGAATGGCCCCCACGCTCGCCTGACCTGAATCCAATAGGACACCTCTGAGATAAGGTCATGTTTCGGTCCATCCGATGCTACCCGGTTGCACCTCAGACTGCCCAGGAGCTCAGTGATACCCTGGTCCAGATCTTGGAGGAAATACTCCAGGACACCATCCATCTTTTCATTAGGAGCATGCCCCGACATTGTCAGGCATGCATACAAGCACGTGGGGGCCATACAATTTTTTCACTTTGATTTTTGGGGTGTCTTTGAATTCAGCCCTCTGTAGGTTGATAATTCTCATTTCTGTCAATGATGGGGCATTCTTACGTTCCTAACACATTACCCAATCCATATCAGTATAGATATCGAGCATGATATTTTTCCCCATTGAGATCTGATGTGTTTTCAAAGTGTTCCTTTAATTTTTTTTGAGCAGTGTATTTGCTAACAAGTCAGTTCAAAATGGGTTGTTTGTTTTGGTTGTTGTTGTTGTTGTCACCTATTGATGAGATCCACTTTCTCTGTCTATTGCCACTAAGACAGAAAGTGGTGGGAAATCCAAACAAGGCACTACAGGGTCTGCAATCATCAGATTAGTACATTTCTGTATACAGCACAATCACAGGTGTATAGAATCCCTGATCTCCTACCCAGGGTCATGTCAGACTTGGTGCTCTTCCATGTCCTCTATGGCTGGCTATGCTCCGGCTGATCACACAAAGGCGGAAGGGAGCTGATCCTGCACTCTCTGGCCATCGCATGTCTAGGATCACTGCCAGGGATGGAGGACACCAAATAGGAACATACAAGAGCTGGGCTCACCGTCTGCCTGGTGGTGCAGGGTGTGTGTACACTGACACTTCATTCACTGCCCTGGAGAGATCGGAGAGAACACACACTGCCCACCTATAGGGATTGCATATTAGCAGACATTGACAGGTAACTACTGCGCCTGCACACAGCTATATGTCCATCTGTGCTGAGTGTGTGATGTGCAGGGTGGGGAAGAGGGGAGAGAATTGGCGGTTTGTGTGTCTGATAATCCATCCTTAGAACATGCGACCCCAGCAAATGCCTGGAATGCCCTATGGCTAGTCCAGGCCTGGTCATCACAAGTACCATCACAGTTTTGCTGTGGTGCAACTTCTACAGCCCATAGTAACTGGGACTGAGATTTCAAATGCTAGCTGTAGAGCAATAATGTAAAAAACATGCTGATTAGAGGTAAGAATTGCTAAAAATGAAAAAAATTAGTTAGCGGGTCCCTCTGATTCCTCCTGTAATGAATTGTATTGTAACTGTACTATCTGCCCTCATACTGTAATGTGCTGCACAAACTGTTGGCGCTATATAACTCCTGTATAATAATAATAGTTAAAATTCCATTTTAAGCACTTGCCCTCCAGAGGATTTACCCCCCCTTCCTGACCTGGCCATTTCTTGCGTTACAGCGCTGCGTTATTTTAACTGACAATTGCGCTGTAATGCAACGCTCTATCCAAATGGAATTTATGTAATTTTTTTCCCACAAGTGGAGCTTTCTTTCGGTGGTATTTGATTGCCTCTGCGTTTTTTATTTCTGGGCTATAAACAAAAATAAAAGATCGACAATTTTGGAAAAAAAAAACAATATATTTGACTTTTTGCTATAAAACATGTCCAGTTAAAAAAAATTAAAAAATCAAATTTCATCATAAATTTAGGCCAAAATGTATTCTGCGACATGTCTTTGTTAAAAAAAAAATCCAAAAACGTGTAAATTAATTGGTTTACGTGAAAGTTATAGCGTTTACACATGACAGTATAGATACTGGAATTTCTTTTTTTTATACTAGTAATGGCGGCAATCAGCGACTTATAGCGGGACTGTGGTGGACATTCTGACACTGGGGGGAACTATCACTGGCATCCCTAGTGATACTAATACAGTAAACACTGCTAATAATAAGCACCGACACTGTACCAATGACCCTGGGCAGGAAGGGGTTAACATCTGGGCCGATCAAAGGGTTAATTGTGTGCTGTGTGTGTTTTACTGTGTGCTGTGTTTTACTGTGTAAGCATGCTGCTTTGTATGGCTCTGCTATGTAGAGTCATATGAAGCAATGTGCTGGAGCTGACAGGGGACACTGTCACTGTTCCTCAGCGATCACCAGGAATCTCCAACCGGGATGCAGTGGTTGACAGCTGTAGCCACCAATGGCGGCACGGGTAGGGCGCGTGTGCACCCCCTACCCAGAAATTCAAAATTACACATATATACGTGATTTTGCGCAGCCCTGCCGCCTTGTAGCAGGAAGCTGTTAAAATTTCATGCCCACAGCCGTACAGGGGCTGTACAGCATGCAGGACCTGCGGAATCACTTTCCAGGAACCCACTGCTGCTGCATAGAGCAGCCCATTGAGATGATTTAGAAGGTGAAGCTATAAGTGGCTATCTGCTGGGGGTTGCATAAAACACCTGCACTCATGTATGCTCTGAATGTGCACTAAGTTAAAGTGTTACTAAACCCAGGACCCTGCATTCACTATATCTGGTCTCCCCGGACCCTGCATTCACTATATCTGGTCTCCCCGGACCCTGCATTCACTATATCTGGTCTCCCACAGTACACAGAACATGAAAGTCCAATAATTTTAGTAAATATAAACTGCTAAATGTCTTTTCTCATCAGCATTATATAGCAGTCTTGTGACTTCTATCAGTGTTCAGCATAGCGCATGTTAAAGCTTGTAGGAGGAGTTCTCATTCTGTTCTAGGAAGATGCAGGACCCCTGACCTGTCTGGACTGTGCTGACTGGCCCTGTGCTGCTCACATGCACTATCCCAAGAAGAAAAAAAAAAAAAACTTCTCTAGCAATACACACCAAACTGAGCATGAGCAGAGTGATGCCACACAATATGTCTTATCAGGAGATAAGAGGGGGAAACTGGAAGAAGGGAAGGATCAGAGAAGAAAGGATCAAACAGAGTTTTTACACAATGCAGAGGATTAACCCCTTAGGTTCCACAGTGAGTATAACAAGCATGCTTTACTGCATATACAGACTGATTTTACTGTTGTGGCTTTAGTAACACTTTAACACTTTAAGTCCATGTGCAGAGGGGTGCTTTATGCAACCCCTGACACATAACCACGTACAGCCGAATCTCAGTAGGCGGCTGTACGCAGCAGCGGATCCTGGGCTGGGAAAGTGATTATGCAGGCTGTGCATGTTGTATGGCCATATGTATGAAGCTTGAGGGCCGGTTCACACTCTAGAAATGCAGTCCAGATACATTTTTGGTGAATTCCAGTTCACTTTTTCTTCAATTTAAATAGGGACAAGTGCATTCCAGTGCTTTTTTGGTGTGTTCCTGTGTG